GAAGTTTAATAGTTTACTCAACAACTACTTAGATCTTGATTGATAGTAACTAGGAGAAGAAAGACAAGCAATACGGTGAAAGAGAAGCCCTCGATGAACCGCCTATAGTATTTATTCTATATATAAGGCCTCGTCTCTGTACCCTGCCGTAGAGGATGGGCCTTCAAGCGTACAAAATTCTTGTTAAGAAAGATTGGATTAAGCTTAGTCGCTTCTCACGCACGGAGCTCGCCCTCTATTCGACGAGGAGTATCGGGTTTTGAAAGTTCTGCGACTCCTACCGCCGCTGCCATAGACCAAGGTTTTTACAAGTCCAGTGGTGAACCTAAAGGATGCCCGCGAGGGTATCAACCGGTCTCAAACGAACTTCTCAGAATGACCGCTAAAAAAAACTATTATCTATCATATCAATCACATGTCTGAACCAGAGCTAGGGTTTCACCCAGGAGTGTTCACGAAAGACCAACCCAATCTCGACTTTAAGTGATTCGACCCGAATTAAAACCACATGAAACTTTCGATTTCTATGGCATTGAAAAAATGGAGAACCTTCTTCTGTTATATACCATCCCTAAGATACTCGATTCAGACTCTGCCTCAGAGAACTGTTTCTTAGGGAAAGGGTAAAAAAGAGGTACTTTCGCCCATGGTGAGATAGAAAGCTAGATGAGTGAAAACTGTTTCGATCTGAGACCCCAATCAGTAATTAAAACTGGTTCATAAGGTTTGCCACTAGGGGATAGAGCTAGACCTTTCTTGATTTGAGACCCAGATCATAGAGGACTTTTTGACAGAAGGCATAGCGCTAGTCCTCTTACGGATAGGTGGGACTAATACCGATATCATGGTCTTCTTCCTTCTCGATGCGCGGTAAAAAGTCTATTTTGAAATTCCTTTAATAGACGAGTTCAGATAGCCAGTGATTGTCCAGAGACTTCGACTGCTGCTTAACGCTTAGCGACTGAATCAGCCCAGGAAAAAACCTTTCTATACATATGGTGGTAGCATAGCTTTTTCAAGCAAAGGTAAGCTTGTTGACAAAATTACCTTGGGCAAAAAAGAGTTTTGAAAGTCAAGCTCAATACCAATACTCGCCCGACCCTTAGGCATTTACCAAACCGGAACTCGGCTTCTAAACGTACACCTTTCCCTCTCATTGTGGGCAGTCACTCATTCCCAAGCAAGGAAGGAAACAGGCTAATGGTATTCTGCCCAGTCACTTGCTTCTTCCTTCCAGTGAATCAGTTACCGCCTTGGGGCATCTCAAGTAATGGTTAGTTCCTTCCTTGACTTCACAGTCAAGATTGGCTGGGTTCTCTATCTTATCTATCTTTCTCTTTACAGAGCTAGACCAACAAAGACAGACCATTGTCTTAGACAAGACAACTTGTCAAACCGGAAGGCTGACTTCTAAAGCTTTCCCATCCAGTCCTGATAGCCCTAGATCTGTAGATCCAATCAACTGTTGGTCTCGCGAGACTGAGTGGATCTTTGTCCCAAAGCCAGGAACAGACTCGGCACTTCTAATCCAATATAGCTTTCTGATCCCCAAGCTCTGTTCAAGTTCCAGGTAAGCTGTACAGAATTGGCTGCTCATCTTTCTTTCCAGGCCAGTTCATTCCAAATTGGAAACTTGAAAGGAAACTCCCCACTCAGGCATGCATTTATAGCTGCCAGGCAGGATACCACAGTCCGGGCATTCAATCTGCTTCTTTCTTTCCGACATCTTGATTCAAAGAAATTCTTATCTACTATGTTATGTGATGTCCAATCGTTATTATATATAATGAGTGATAGCTGACAGGTCAATGGTCTCTTTCTCAGCTAGCTGCCATAATAGGAAGTCAAAGCCAGTTCAATCAGTACTAAAGAGAACGGGTTCAATTTATCCCAATCACGAGACCTGTTATGAGAGATGAAAGGCATGAAGTTCTCCTCCTTCTCACCCTT